TGCTTCTTTTCTAATTGCATAAGAAGAGGGTTCGGTCCTGAGGAGGGCTCCTCACAGGATTGCAGGGCAAACAGTTACTGGGTAGCCACCTTCCTAGGAGAAAAGTCCAATCACAATATTCTGATCAGCTATGACAAGTGCAGTTTGAAGTGACAACAAATTCTCAGGGTTTTCGCGGAGCTTCCTGGGAACCCCGCAAAATAACAGTGCACGGTAGATTTTTTTCTCATCCTTGGATCAACAGCAGCCTTCATATTATGTCAGCCAATATACTGTGTCTTCATGCAAAGTAGCTCAAGTGTAAAATCACGAACACGTTGAAAAAGACATTTTTGAATTTCAGTAGGCTAAAATTTCCTCTATATTTTCAGCTCTGATTCCTACTGAATATTGAAGACAGAAATCTTGTTAGACCTCGAGCTGGAGACTGTAATTACAGAAAAAGTTGTACAGAGCAATAGCCAACAGACAGGACCCTGAGTTCCTATCCTACCTCTGACCCTCAGTGGCCATAGGACTTTGGATAAATTAACCTTTTAAGTCCCAGTCTCCCTATAAGAGAAATGAGTTTCTAACTCACAGCACTCTTGAAAGGATTAAGTTTGATAATATTGTGAAAAGCTTATATAGTGCCTGGCACATTGCAAAAACATAATAATCACAAACTGTTATTCTCTCTGTACTTATTATTGGTACTATCCAAAGCGGTAAGCTCCAGTATATAAAACAAAATAAAATCACTTTTGACCTGCCACCATCTGTGCCCATTCACTTACCCCAGGATTTCTCAACCTCAGAACTACTGACATGTTGAGCCCGATAATTCTTTGATTATGGAGCTGCCATAATCACCCAAACAGGTCTCCAGACATTGCCACATAAATGTCCTCCTGGATGCATATCTCCCCAAGTTGAGAAACATTGATCTGCCCCCTCATCTGAGCACCTGAAAAGGTTGACATTATTATTCTGATTTTACAGAGAAAATTAAAGGTCAGTTTCTAATGAACAAAACCTAAAAATGCTCCTTGCCACACATACTGAAAATGCAGTATGTTTTTCATTCATTTCCTCAACCAGTATTTACTGGGCACTAGACTGAGGTACAGTCTTTTGCAGAGCTGATGTGGGTTTTGCGAGGCTTAAAGTTTAGTGACTAGAGAATACTGGATAAGCAGGGAATTACGGTACTGCGTAAAGAGCACCAACTTTGGGGCATCCGAGAATTATGGTACTGTGTAAAGAGCAGTAACCTATCCTATGGGTTATCAGGCAAAACACTGATGGAGAAGGATCATCTATGTGACAACCTGAAAGATAAGAAGCTGCAAGCAAGGGAGGATTCCAGAAGCTCTCCGTATGGATCCAAGCTGGTTGTAATGTTGGTCAAGAGGAGACACTCAGCCCAGCTGAGAAAAAGAAGAAAACTTGGACTGCACAGCCCTTTGCCCCA